GTAAACCCGGTCAACACCAATACATATAATTAATTATATAAAAGATTAAATTGATTATTAGAAAAAGTATATTCCTTCATTAGAATCTTATATACTCTCTACGTCCATTAAAGCTTTGCCATCTTTGAATTTTTGGTCAACCATGTTGAACTTTGACCAATTATATATTTTTATAGGAAATATTTATAATATATAAAATTATATGAAAATGTTCTTTGTTAGAAGCACTTTCATAAGAGTATAAAACTAATCAAAATCATGGTCCAAACTTTATCATCACTGACTTAAAAATCAAAGATGAAATAGAGCCCGTTTGGTAGCACGAAAATCGACTGATTTGACTGATTCTGCTGAAATTATGAAACTCTGGCTGAAGTGGTTGAAGTTGCTGATTCTGCTTATTTAGGAAAAAATTATTTTTAAAATATATTTTATAAATAAAATAAAGAAAGAAATATATGTAAAAATAGCTAAAATGGTCATCTACAGTAACTTCATCCAATACAGTCAGAAAAGTAACTCCAACCTTACTTTTCCGGCTTATTACACAATTCAGCACACGAAAGCAAAAGTTGCGTGTTTGTTGAAAAAGATGGCTCATAAACCTGATAAGCCGAAAGACAATGTTGTCAAACGGCCTCATAGTTGTTAGAGAATAAGGTAGGAGTGTTTTATTGTTTGAAAGCAATTCAATGTTGGACAAATACATGGTTCTTCACTACATGTCGCCTTTTATTTCGTACATTACGGGTTAAAATTCTCAAGAAAGTTAGTAGCTTGAATCCTATATCGTCCACCATTATGCTTTGAGTTTTTACCTCTAATTAGGACCGAATTATCATCAAAACTCCTATATGGGAGTTAATCCTTTATTTTACCTAAATGGGACCCTTTATTCCCATTATACCCTTGCTACTCGTGTAATAAAACTCATCAGCCCAACATCTGAATTGGATCGACATCTTCTATTCCACATCGATTGCGCAGCTCCTCTCCGATCCTCTTCCGCATCGATTGCGCAGCTCCTCTCCGATCCTCTTCCGCATCTTACTCCGGCCAGCAGTCTCCAGGTAATTCCTCCCCCTTCTCCTTCTCTTCCTTCTTCTTCCTTCTCCTCTTTCCTTATCCCTCTTCTTTCTTCTCCTCTATTTTCTGCTCCTCATTCTTCTATTATAATTTTCTGTAATTTGTTTCGAATTTTTTTCAATTCTAAATGGATATTTGGAATTTGAAACCTTTGTGAATGAAAAGTTCAGGCTCTCGTTCAAAAAATTCAGATCTAAAATTTATGATTTTGTAATTCTTAATCAATTTGTAAAAATTGCCACATTTATGGCATTTGTTTATGCAGATGGAAATATTACAAGTTCCAAAATGCCAGATTTTTGGAATTTTCACAAATTATGGCATTTTTATGGCATTGAATTCAATTCATTGACAACACACCTTCATTTTTCTTCTCCTATTTCACAATTTCAACTCCAAAATGTGAAAATGACATAATTGTTAATCTAAAAATTCCATGTTTTTGCATATAGAAATGCCATTTTTTTGTCATTACTGTTATCGTAATTGTAATTTTGCCTGAAATTGAAATTATACACTCCACAGGAGGTAGCTGTGATTAAGAAGATGATAGCATCTCCACAAAGGATTTAGCAGTGGCACCATTCTCGCTGGAGGAAGGGGTAAGTCACCTCACCGGAAGTGTGCAACAGCTATTTCGGCGGCGACAGTCTCGACAGCGGTGGTTGTGTTGGCATGCACTGAAGGCGCTGAAGGTGTTCGACGGTTTGGAGATTTACGCTATAGGCATCGATGAATGAGGCGTATGGGGAATTGTGTCTGTACAGCTGGGTTTTGTTTTTTATTTGACCCTTAATTTCATTAAGGACAGTTGTGTCTAATCAGTTCATTTTAAATCCTATAAATTATTAGAGTCCTATTTGTGCATTTCAACATTGATTTAGTCCCATTTAAGGAATGACCTCTTACATGAGATTGTTTTGTGTGTTTTATCGTTCGAAATATGTGAAAAAAATCTGATGAATCGAGCTCTTCAGACTTATTACTCTAGATAACTACTTCTAAGATAGTAGAAAACGTATTGAGGGCTAGTACTAATATTAGTACTATAACTCAGTTTCTATTTTTCAACAGGTAATATTACTCTTTTTTTTACTCTTTTAATTATTGTATAACAAGATAAATATTCTCTTTATTTTGTTTTTGTCATTATAATAATTCATTTCTACTCGTTATAAAATTTATTCCATATGCTTTACCTCTTTTCTTAATATATATACATCTTTAAATCCTTTAGAATATAGTTTTCTCGTGCATCGCACGAGTATAATAGTAGTACAGAAATAAAGAATTAACACGAAAAATTAAAATAGAGTAACGACAACGGTATAGGAATGACTCAAAGATAAATATGAAGCAATTATATAATTAATTAGAAGAGAATAAAAAAGTTGCAAAAGGAGATGCCTATTAATTCAAAATCTTTTCAATACCAAGTCCCAAGTATTTATAGGTGGATTATCGATGACTCTTGAGTAGGGGTGGACTGAACCGGGCCGGTTCGGGCCTCGGGCCTGGGCCCGGCCGGGCCTCGGTTCAGTATATATAGGCCCGAGCCCGAACCGGGGTTGGCCGGTTCCGGGCCGGTTCCAGGCCGGTTCCGGGCCGGGCCACCCGCCCTATTAATTTTTTTTTTTGGCTTCTTTATTTAATCCCCTACCCCTCTTTCTCAACCCCAAACCACCCCAAACCATCTCAAATGGACCAAAATACCTAATCTAACCCAAAACATAAAAAATTTTCAAAAAAAAAAAAAAAATTAATTCCGGCCCGGACCGGGCCCGAACCGGCCGGGCCGGTTCACCATATGGAAGGCCCGGGCCCGGAACCGGGAACCACCGGGCCGGTTCGACCCGAACCGCCGGTGGACCGGGCCACCGGGCCGGGCCGGTTGCTACAGTGGCCGGGCCGGGCCGGTTCCGGGTCGGGCCGCCCGGCCCGAGTCCAGGCCTGCTCTTGAGTTGTCAAATGGTCGTTCGGAAACCATGCTGGATGCTCGAGTTTCGGAATGAAAAAGAAGACGGATTGGAAATGGACGGTCACAAAAACGTAAGGTTGAGAGGAAAGGTTTAAATGTTTAATATGTACTCGCTAAGATGGTTCCATTTCCTTTTTTAGTCCGTCCCACTAAGATTATCTCATAACAAATTCAGTAAAGTTCATGTCATTCTAAATCGTTTTTACTTTTTCAACTAAATAGGGGTCATCACCTTTGCATGATCGATTTGTCCTGTTTTACAAGCTTCCCCAGTGGGACACCCGTCCATGGGATTTCTTGCCCTTAGGCTAGCTAAATTAGAGAGTTGATGATCTGAGTTAGCACACACAATCAAAGTAGTAACCAATTCAAGGTGGATTCTTTTGAACACCCACACAGTTAACTACACTAATGCAGAACCCCATTACTTAGAAGTGGATGAATGTGAGAGGCTGCATCACGTGGTGCCAACATGTCACACCTAATCAAAGAGTGATACTAATCCTTATAAGATTAACAACCTTCCACATCATTCACTCCCACAAACTAATGTTCAACAATTATAATACTACCTCCGTCCCGCTAAGATGTTCCTAGTTTGACCTACACACATATTAAGAAAATAAACTTACTAGGTGGGTAAAATTTACCGTTTCGACACTGTTTGACACTGTTTGACACTGTTTTGATGTAGGATAACTTTCCATTTAGAGAAATGAGAAATTTGTTTTAGGGCTGCTAAAAAAGGAAAGCAAGAAGATCTTAATGGGACGGGGGGAGTATAATCCAAATCACCCCACCACATTGTTAAATTGTTACATGCCATCCCTTATAAATATTTGAAATACATAAATTTTAATTTCAGAATTATACTAGCTTAACAATGTTATACTCTTAATATAGGTCTCAATTGTTCTATAACAACAACAATAACAAATACGCAGGAGGCAGAGAGCTCCTAGGGCAGAGCCGCCACTAGGTAATTTCCGATTTCGATCTTTCTTGATCGAAGTTCGGTCAATGTTTCCCTAGCGAGATCTCTCGCGTAGGGTTTTTACTTCGCTGCCCTGGTGCAGCGTTTCTTTCAATCGACGCAGCACTGCTTCGGATTGCCGTGGTTTGGACGTAGCTCGGGATGGATGATCATGGCAGTGAGAAGATGGTGGAGAAGAGAGAGAGAGAGAGAGAGAGAGAGAGAGAGAGAGAGAGAGAGAGAGAGAGAGAGAGAGAGAGAGAGAGAGAGAGAGAGAGAGAGAGAGAGAGAGAGAGAGAGAGAGAGACATAAGGATGATTGGGACATGATTAACGTGGAGAGGCTAAACACTCCATTCAATGGCATGAATTTGGGTCATAGGGCGGATACGCCACCGAAAGAGGGTATCAATCGAGCGGCGGTCCGACCTTCGCCTGAACCACCACCATGGATTATACGAGCTGCTAGAGTCCGTGAAAGATTTCCTAGTTTTTAGCCTCTCTTGATGTCATTGGATATGATTGGATCTATGGGAACATGTTTGGTTGTGTCAAGCCCACTACATGGTTAGCGATTCGTGTTGCTCTTATTTCAGGGGTGACCGTCTCAAAGTCTCATCATAGGGTTACAGTCGTAGTTGTTGGAGTTTCAGTTGATGTCAGTTTTATTTTCCCTTTGTTTGATGTAATGATCTTGAATCTTTTGATATGAATAGATGCGTGTTTTGATGATATAAAAAGAATTGTACTAGCTTAACTCATGCTGTTTCATTTTTTAAATATTTCTTACTCAAATAAATATAAAATATAATGAAATTTTTATTCGAAACATTCAATTAAAAAATAAAAACCTAAATGTGATTCATCTTCCGGTTCGGTTCATATCTGGGTTCGTTTCTACTTATGGTACCTGGTTCTACACTTCTACCAGGCGATATGTTTCTTTGCCGGGAACGTTAATGGCGACATTGTCTATGTCTTCAACTACCAGAGCATTTTCTTGCCCTTCCTATTACTCCACATATTCTTCTCTGTCACCAACAATATCTTTGGTCAGGTGCTGCAAAAATGTGGACTTCTTGTCACTTTCCTATAGTTACTGTCTTGCTTCGAGTTTCAAGATCACCGAGACTAATATCTCGAGAAGAAAATCTATGGGGATTCGGATGTCTTGGGATGGCCCTCTCTCTTCCGTCAAACTCAAAGTCCAAGGCAAACACTTTGAGGTATACCTCCTATTCCCCTGCAATTCTGTTTGTATTTCCCTGATTTTGGAGCTAGTTGGAGGTTTTCTATTGTGAAAATTTTGTCTATATCTACGCGATTTAACTGGAATAGAGAGAAATCGTGCTTCCGATTATATGTATAAGTGGAATTGCATGTGCTTTCTATTGTCTGTTAGAACTACTTAGAATGCTACTTTTTGCGATTAAAAGAGATGAAGTGGCGTTAAGAAATTGTTATTGAATTGTAGTTAACACCTGCTGTAAGAAGCTATATTGAGGACAAGTTGGGTAGGGCAGTTCAGAAGCATAGCCATCTGGTGAGGGAAGTGGACGCTAGGTTGTCCGTGCGTGGTGGTGAGTTTGGGAAAGGCCCAAAAGTTCAAAGATGCGAGGTATCTGTTGCTGACATGATAACTAGTGTTATTTTTTTTTGTGTGTGTATAGTTATAGATTCTTAAATGAACTTTTAGGTGACTTTGTATACAAAGAAGCACGGTGTTGTTCGTGCAGAGGTTGATGCAGAGTCGCTCCACGGGAGTATTGACTTGGTGTCATCAACTGTACGGAGAAAGCTGCGGAAGATTAAGGACAAAGATTCTGATCATGGTCGGCATATGAAAGGCTTCGACAGACAGAAGGTTGGGGATCCAGGTGCACTAGCAGGACCAGAAGCGGGGGAGCCACTTTCTATAGAAGAAGAAAAACAAGAGAATGATGATGAAGGCTTCATTGGTGAGGTCAGTTTCCAGACCGTTTGGATTATGGTTTCATGATTTCTCATTTTTGGGAAACTCGGTTGAGATATAGTCATATAGGGAACAACCTATTTCTTTATTACTCAATCAGTGCAAATATGCACATAGTTGCAAATCAACTTGAACTGTAAGTTACTTCATAGTATTTGTTAAACACAATCTCTTAGGGAGAAGAGGCGGAATGTTGTAGGTAGTCGATACGTTGAAGAGTAGCACTCTATTTTTTCTTCAGCTATGCAATGGGATGGAAGAAAGGTCACATGAAGGGATGGTCATTTTGAAGAAAAACTTGATGGTTACAGTCCACATGCTTGCTGAGATCAACAAGTAGATTCACACGATAAGAAGAGAGCGAAAATAGCCTCCTGAAAAAGAAATGTTTATTTTTTTTAAAGGTTAAAGTAGGGGTCCCTACAGAGTACGATTTACCTAAAGAAGCATGCTTGAGAAACCTTTACTCGTATTATTACCTGATTCCCAACTATATTAGGGTAGGTGACAATGTGACATGAATTTTTAGTGTCAATCAGTTGTATAAAACTAAATAACTAGTTAACACATATATTTGCATAAATAAAGCTCATGGGAAAATTTTTACTCTTAGGGTATGTTTGGGAGTTTGGAGGGAAGGGGAGAGCAAGACTTTGGAGGTTAGTCATAGGAGGTTTAAGGGGAAGTGAAGTGAAGGGAATCCTTCTTGTTTAGGAGTTATAAATTTGAAAAGAGGGGGGTTATGGAGGAATTATAATTAAATCACTTCAGTGATATGCCATGTTCAAATAGTTGAACTTATATTCCTTTTAAATTGAGCTAAACTTACCATTTAGTTAGTTGTCCTTCAAAATCCCTCAATTTGGGCAAACTTAAAAATTGAGCATTTAAAGGGTTTTGGAAGGTTTATAAGAACACTCTAAACCCATTCCTTCCCATTTTTTACTCCCACACAAGAAAGGAGAGGTCATAAACCCTCCTAATCCCCCTCCCCTCCAAAATATAACTCCTAAACATACCCTTAATGCCTGTATTATTGCAATCTTTGAAAGAAATAATGAGATGAAATTCATAAACGTTCATCATCAGAATTTTTTTCTGCTTTCATGAAAACTACAAAAAAATTAAAACCTTCACCTGCTCCCTATGAAGTAAACCAAGCCTTTAACTGTCGCTCACAAATCAAAAGAAATGAAAAACGGATAAGTACACATAAAATAAGGAAAATAAACATGTTAGCTATTCTGGTGCTGGGAACCATCTACTGACCAACTCAGACATTCTTGAACAATGTGTCAAAACATTGGCCAGTCTTAAAACAAATCCCGAAGGCATGCTATTGAGACACTATAAAAGGTCAGCTTACTTGGCCTTTGTTTTTCTCCAAGTGTCCACGCTGCCAACAGGATAGTCAACACTCTCTCAGTAATTATTTTGAAGAATTATATCTTACATGGAGCAATTTTTTTCTTTCTAGGCCAGTATTATGATCTGAGACCAAACATGACAACTTAACTGTGATATTTGTTTTACGTTGCACATATGATTTGATTAACATATTGGGCTGAGAGTTTTTTTTCTCAGATTGTTCGCAAAAAGTACTTCGACATGCCACCATTGACTGTAAATGAAGCAATCGAGCAGCTAGAAAATGTGGATCATGACTTCTATGGTTTTAGGAATGAGGAAACTGGTAAATGTTTATATGTGATAGATATTTTTCTTCTTTAAGCTAGTTTATGTTTTTGTACCTGCCGTTGACTCTTTCCAAACTTGCAGGTGAAATCAACATTGTCTATCGCGGAAGAGCTGGGGGCTATGGCCTTATTATACCAAAGAGGAATGGGGAAGTGGAGAAGTATGAGGGTGTTTAGGCCGAGTCAATCAAGAAAGCATCCCAGGCTTCCTAGGCGTATTGGGGGGAAATGGGAAACCGATGCGGATGTGTTTTTTTGTACTTTTGGTATATTAGTGGATAACAGTAATGCTCTTCAGCAAATTCTAATTTTTCTTATAGTTGGCAGACATATTTGACAAGATTAAGACGAAGTAGAAGAATGAAGATGCTCATATTCAGTATTTCTAGAAAATTCCAGGTACTTGGCGCATCTGTTTTTTAAAAGAAGAATGAAGATGCTCATATTCAGTATTTCTAGAAAATTCCAGGTACTTGGCGCATCTGTTTTTTAAAAAGGAATTTAGAGTACATTGTATAATTTGGTTCGGATAGCAATGTATTTTTAATGAAATGACCACCTTGAACTTTTTGTACTTTTGAAGATTCTTTACTAGCAAGTGTGGTTGAATTAACTCTCAACCATTGCATTAAGTAGGGAAGGAAAACAAACTCGACATCAATAAAGGAGATGTTTTAAAAAGCAAAGCCGATCCTTTGGAACAAGCGTTACAAAATCCAGTGTCATTATGTGTTGATGATATGGCCTTATATCGGTCATCTACTTTTAGCAAAACATAGTTTGGCCAAAAATTTATGTCCATGTATGATGTATGCAACTCCAATTCAATGAAGATACTTATTTGCACATATTGTCAAATTTAACCAATTGCTTAGGTAGTGTGCAACTCCAATGCTTTTTGTACGATTTTCTATTCATTTTAGCTAGTTCATCTCTGCAAGCCAAATTAGTGTAGTCTTTAAGACTAATTTTTTTAATCTTTTCTCTCTCTTCTTTACATCCTCAACAGCCTCTGAATTATGGCTATTAGGAAAAGAAAAGTTGCATATAATTATGTTATAAAGTAACCAAATGTAGAATGGAATAGGCAAATTGTTAGTGTTATTGTGGCTTGCCCATATCCATTTTTTAAATACAATTAAGTCAAATTAGTGTATTGTTTATAATACTTAAAAAGTCATATTGTTGGAGGTTCTTCTATAAACCTATTTAAAACGGTAAAGTCCTGGTGAATAAAGGCTAACATTTCAGTGCTGAGAGATAATCTCAAATTTTCAGAGGCCCGATCAGCATATGTATTATTGTTAGGCAATATTCTTCTTATGCAATAATCTCATATATTATCGCATGCAATAGAACGTGCGGGTAACACTGCATGCATGCGTGTGAACTTTAATTTGTACACAAAAATAATATTATAATAATGCCAACATATTCCAGTTTTTTCCAAATGAACTTTATTGTCAAAATATTAGAAACTAATAGGGAGATTTCAACGGACCTAATCATACTATTTTTTCAAAATTAGGACCACACATTAGCGTAAGACATAAGTACACATCCTTTGACCTAATTGCCCTTGCTTTTAAATTCTATAGCAGACTGCATCGAAAGATTTAATGGAAGAATAGATCTGGGAGTAAGCAAACCTTCTTTCCCCTTCTTTCCTTCCATTCTACAGTAGCTTTGTTTCAATTTTTCTCCAATCCCATTTGCGACGCGCCGACACAGTGTAGAATTGAAGCATGGAGGGTGAATTTTTTCATAACCTCTGACCGTCGGCGATCCAGTAGCAACTGACGGCGGGTTTGTCAATTTTCTTCAAGCTCCTTCTTCAATCATCTACCCCTCCGATCCTCTATTTTTATCGGACGCCACCGCCATAGGTTTCTTCTTCGTACTCATCATCATCATCATCATCATCATCATCATCATCATCATCATCTTCTTCTTCTTTCTGATTTTGGACATTGATTTTTCCAATTTCGAACTTCTAATTCATAGTTTCACAAGGCCACGAGGTACTCTGCAAAACTTTTGAAGTAATCATATCCAAAATCAAACTTGCAAACACTAGACAATACATAGACAATAAGTAGTCGGTAAACAAACAATAAATTCTAATAATAGCTCAATAGCAGACAACACATAGACAATAAGTAGTCATTAAACAGACAATAATTTCTGATAATAGCTCAATAACAGACCAGGTAACGTAAAGCTAGGAGTACATTGAACTTGACCTTGAAATTGGGAGGGGGCTTATTAGCATCATCCCAGGGAGGATATTGAACTTGATTTCACAGAAATAGGGGGAATAGGGGAGAAATCGCTGGAATCCGAATAGGAAGGGTATGAGTAGTTCCCCATGGTTGTGATTGCTGCAGAATTGATTTTTTGACCTTTCTGTGTGTTTAGGGTTCCGTCGACGATGGGCGACGACCTCTCTAGCGGCGATGAATGGCGGTGAACTCAGTTGTAGCCTGCGACGAAGAGGTGCAATTAATTGAAATCGGTAAAAGGTGTAAGGTGAGTCGATTGCTCTGGTGCGTCTTCTTCGTGGTTGGCCTGCAGTAAATAAGGGTAAAAATGTAAAGCGATAATAATGTTTCCTAAAATATGACTATATAAATCTTACGGATGGAAAAAGGATACTTGAGTCCTCCTTTTGTAAAGACGGTAGCTTTTGGTCTTATGAATAACAATTTTCTCAAACTAATATTGTAAGAATCTATCTATAAAAATTATTATGTCAATTAAGTCTGTTTCCTGGCCATACTTAAGGCTATTTCCTTAAATCTAAATACTCGGCATCCTTGAAGGAAATCTGGATATTCTTCCTCCAATCTCTTCGGTTCTTATTTACCAGTTTATCTCACGAAAAGTTTAATAATGAATGATACTATTGTTGGAAATGTGATGGAATATTATATTTGAAAAAATTATTATACATCAAAGTACAACTTTTCAAGAGTGGATTATAACTAACAAAATAATCCATAGTTGTAAAGGTGGTAAAGTGATGTATTAATATGATGAATTTTTTTGTTGCTTATAAAATAAAAGCTCCCGTTGTAAATTATTTTAACTGATAAGGAACATAGTTCAAGTATCATTTAAAATGACTTGAATTGAGGGATCGCTTGTGTTTCCACAAAAATTTGAGGCTAGCTGAATCTGAATGGTTTTTTATTTTAAATAGTAAAATAAAAACACAGCAGCTAAAGTTTATTCAATTTTCAAAATTGAAATGAGCTGCTGGTATTTTAAATAGTAAAATAAAAAGAATATTTTTAATGAAATTTCACTCCCGTGATAATATTCATTTTTCAAAATAATGTATTTAGCAGATTAAAATATTGAACACAACACTCCTTAAATTAATAACCAAGTAATAATTTTTAACCGATTATAATGACATGAATATTATCAACAATAAAAATTAAAACTTGCCGAAGCCTAAACTTACTTAGTTACACATAATTACAGTAAACAAAATAAAAGTAGAATTCATGATAGGCATAATTAATTTAACAGGTTAAGGAAATTGAATTAATTTGCGAGAATGAGTATTGTGTTAAGTACCTGCATAAATAATGAAAACATGGATGATATTTCCAAGTGAACTTTATTGTGAAAATATTAGAAACTGGTATTGTAAGAATCTATCTATATAAATTATTATGTCAATTAAGTCTGTTTGCTGACCATACTTAAGGGTATTTCCTTAAATCTAAATACTCGACATCCTTGAAGGAAATATTGATATCCTTTTTCCAATCTCTTCGGTTCTTCTTTACCAGTTTATCTCACGAAAAGTATAATAGTGAATGATAATATTACTTAAATCCATACCGCGCACGAAAACTACTGAAAGATAAAATGATGTCTTTAATTACAATTTGTAATTTACAAAATTAAATAAATTTGAATGGATGAGCTAAGCGAGCTCATGAAGGCACATCACTTTCATTATCTTTCATTGTCTAGTGATTATTAGACAATGAAAATGTTCTACCTTCATGAGCTCGCTCACTTATCATACAAATTTGACACAACCTCTAAACCAAGGCATTTTGATAACTTTAGTTTGAAATTAGGAATATAATCTTGTAATTTATTTGACGTCGGTGTGGGAATATTGATGGAATTGGTTTTGCAAAAAAGTCAAAAGAAACCCAAGCACAATTAATGTTGGAGTTCGTATTTATTTAAGAGGAAATTTACCAAATCATACTTTTACAATCATAAAGCACGAAAAATGCGAACGTGTGAGGATTAAAAAATAAACTTTTGATAAGGGCGTGTAGTCTTTTTCAAAGCAGATTTACCTTAATATAGGACTAAAACTCATCCATTTTTCAAAAATAGGACCAATAATTTAAACTTTCTTCAATATGGTTTTTATTTGTGATTGGACAAAATTACCCTTACAGGGTTGGAGTTGCTACCCCTGCTGCCCAAATCAATGAAATAAAATTTCCAGAACTGCTCCGACGGCCTGCTAGAATTTCTGCCACCATTTTTGGTGGCATTTTAAATTCCCTTCAGCTTTAATAAAATTGACATTTTTGGTTCTTCAGTTATTATAATAGTGATAGTTTTAGTGATAGTACATCCTCTTATTATGGCAAAATAGTATTTGAAGGACTAAAACTGTTGATAAGTCCATTTATGTACTTATTTTTCTTATCAAATTTAAGCAATTCTGGATTGAAAAATAGAAAAACAAGGCACATTTTATATATTTTGGTTCAAGTTTCATGAAATCGGGTAAAAATCGCATTCATAACATGTTTTGTGAAATTTCGGGTCAATTGCGTGAAGAAAGTGGCACTTTTTGCCAACAAATGAATTGATACGGAAGTTTGCAAGATATATTGACCAATTGTTCAATGAAAAAAGTCCAAGTGATGAAGAAATCATGCAAGGAAGTTCAAAACCACGAAGGAGTCACATATATGGCTACTTTTGATGAAAATGGACGATGCATAGAGACACATGTTCGTATTGTGATCATAACTTTGCGCATAATTGTCCAACGTTCGTGATACGAGTTTCATTACATTGATATCTTCCTGATCTACAACTCTTATGAAGAACACAGAGCCAAATAACCACCGTAGAATGGACATATTGCTCAAAGAAGTCAGACATTTGCAGTTGCGATGGAAAGTGACATGTGGTCACCGTTTTGACCATATCTCATAAACTACAAATCCAATGAATGCGATTCAAATTCCAGTAGTTAGCCAAGAAAGAGAGCTACAACTTTGATGAAGACAACTTTTCCATTTGACGTAAGGCGGTGGAGCAGGCGGCCGCCTTTCCGGGCGCCTACGAGTTTTTGACAGTTTCAGCACTTAACACTTTGCATGGCGACAAAATGATGGAAGGCT